GGGGGGGGGGGGCTGTCATGTATTCTCTGAGAGCCAGGATCTCCCCCCTTCCCGTCCACACCGCTTCTCTCCACTGACAACAAGGTAGATTAGTGGCCTGTTGTCCTGCTCTTTCAGCTGTGGGGCCTTTGGCTCCCTTGGAAGGCCTGTGGGGAAACCGGGGGCCGGCAGAGGTGTCTAACCGGTGGGGTGGAGGCCTGATTCCCGCCCCTCCCCCCTGCAAGCCTTGGGGGAAGAGCCCCCTCACCCAGATGATCCCTAAACCCCTTGGGCGAGTGATTCCTCCTCTCTCAACCTCAGCTGTCCCCTCTGTAAAGTGGACGCTTCACAGGAGCACCAGAGGCAAGGGCTCAGCCTTGTGGCCCCTCCAGGGCCCCTGCCAGCTGTGAGCTCTGCCCAGAGGCCTTGTTCCCATCTCAAGGGCTCATGGGATCCTTTTCTGCTCCCTTCACCGACGTCATGCCCCGCTGGGGCTCCGCGGGTCACCAGGGGTGCGGTCCACCTGCAGAACCAAGCCCCGGGCTCCTCCCCACATACACATACCATCCCCCGTCCATGCTGCCTGCAGGTACCTACTGGGTGGATCCAAACCTTGGCTGCTCGTCCGACACCATCGAAGTTTCCTGCAACTTCACACATGGTGGACAAACGTGTCTCAAGCCCATCACGGCCTCCAAGGTCTGCTCCCCCCACCCCCCGACACTGACCGGTCCTCTCTGCCCCTACCCCGCCCAGGGCTCCAGCCCACCCAAGTTATGGTCTGAGCCTCGGCTGTCTTGCTGCCTGGCTGTTTGTGAGCCTGATTCCTCTTCTGTAAACTGGGGACGAATCCTTCTAAATCTGTGGTTGCCAAACCCTTTCGACTTGTATGATGATGTTAGTGGTGTTTCCTTCAAGTAGAACTTTCTGCCTAATACCAAAAACAGCAATAGTGGGCCCAGCTGGCCTGGCTTGGAGAGCCGCGAACCATCAGTACAAAAATAAGTCCGTGTGATGCTCACCGAGGACGCGCTGCCTGAGCTGTGTGTGCACACGTTTCACGGATGCTCAGTGCCTGCTTCCCACGTGCCCGTCTCTGGGCTGAGGATTTGAGGTGGCTCAGGGCAGCTCAACAAGAAACCAGGACAGGTGGCGGCACTGAGGCATCACCACCCCCCCTGCCCGGGGTACCCTGCGGTGGATTGTGGGTCTGCGGGGTCAGTAAGTCCTCCATATGGGAGGACTCGTGCTACAGTGGGAGGAGCCCATTGGCCTGCAGGGGAGGGATGGGGGCAGGAGCTGCCCCGTGCTGACCGGCTCTGACCCCGAGTTTAAGAATCTGCACGTGGCCAGCTGGTCAGCGAGTCTTGTCGGGTGGCCACCATGTGCCAGACGCAGGAAACACAGTAGCCTCATCAATGCCCACCCCCACCCCAGCCAGGCTCTTTCCCCTCTGACTCTGAGTCTGGGGTTTGGGAACCCCCACCTCAAACCTGCCCAGCAGAGGGGTGAGGCCAGAGATGGCCCCTGCACTGGCCATCCCACCAGGAACAGTGGCCACCGTTTTGTGCCGGTCTCAGCCTATAAATAACCAGCGTTGCGGCTGGGCCAGCCCTTGTGGTTCTTATTACGATTGCAAGGTGCCCTTCGCTACTAAGAAACTTTGAAAAAGTACAGGTTTGTTACTTACCGGACCTGAAAATCCCACAGCACATTGGGGGCGCACAGCCAGGTCGCTGGTGGAGAGAGGCATGTGTGCAGGGGCCTGGGGTTCTGCTTTTATTGGGATCCAGGGTGGGGGCTTAGGGCTCCTCGGCACTTGCGTTACAAAAAGACAAAACCAATGGTCAGGGCTTAAGCTGCATCCACCGAAGCCATAAATCCTGTCCTTGTTGGTTGTTGGGACTGCCATTTCTGGGGTCTTGGGACTTAGAAAGGGTAGGCAGGGCACTTCTCATATTCCCCCTGTTCCAAGAGCCTCTTGATCTACTTCCTCTTCCTCTCTGGGCCTCAGGATCCCAGCTCAGCTCCAAAGACAAATCCCCTCCCACACCCATGCCATGGGGGAGGGATCAGGTGACTTCGGAACCCTCATAGCTATGGCCTCGGTTCTTTCCCGTCCTTGTTACTCCTTGGCTGTGGACTGGCTCACACTAGACCTCTGTGTCCCTGTCTCCAGTGGGCACGCGTCTGGGGGCAAAGCCGGGAAAGGCTCACCAGGAAAGAGCTTCTCTCTGCGCCTTCCAGAGAGAGGTGAGGATATTTGAGAGCCTCGGGCAGCCGGCCTGACCCTACCTCACTGCCGTGTTTCTGCCACAGGTCGAGTTTGCTGTCAGCCGGGTCCAGATGAATTTTCTGCACCTGCTAAGCTCGGAAGTGACACAACACATCACCATCCACTGCCTTAACATGACCGTGTGGCAGGAGGGCACAGGGCAGACCCCAGCCAAGCGGGCTGTGCGCTTCCGGGCGTGGAACGGGCAGATCTTTGAAGCAGGTGGTCAGTTCAGGCCAGAAGTGTCCATGGATGGCTGCAAGGTAGTTAATTATATTATAAAATTACTCGCAACAATTATTATAAAATTATAGATAGCAATTAACGTCATACACGTTAGCACATTGCATTAGTATGTTAGTGTAATACAGTATATTGTATTAGCATAATGAGCAAATATATACAACTTTTTATCTTTGCGTAATAGTTTTATTACAACAGTTTTTAAAAATTCCTTTGAGGGGGCGCCTGGGTGGCGCAGTCGGTTAAGCGTCCGACTTCATCCAGGTCACGATCTCGCGGTCCGTGAGTTCGAGCCCCGCGTCAGGCTCTGGGCTGATGGCTCAGAGCCTGGAGCCTGTTTCCGATTCTGTGTCTCCCTCTCTCTCTGCCCCTCCCCCATTCATGCTCTGTCTCTCTCTGTCCCAAAAATGAATAAACGTTGGAAAAAAAAAAATTAAAAAAAAAAATTCCTTTGATTCACTATCATCTCTGGGAAACTTCTGAGAGAAGATCTGGCTGATAGAAATTTCCCAGGCTGCTATAGATGGCTGTACTTACTTGCAAGGCTGCTTGTAGGAGAATGTATTTCTGGTCTTCTCTTTGCCCCCATCCTGACCAGGCTAATTGGTTCTCTTGACACTTTTGGTTATTTTTAAATGTCTAAATGTTTGGTTATTTTTAAATGTCTAAAACTGGGTGGGTTGTTGGCAGAGAGGGAGTCAGAAAGTTGTCCAGAAAAACCAGTTGCCCGAAATTAAACAAAACTAATAATACACAGTGTTAGGGAGGACGTGGGGAAACCAACACTCTTGCACAAAGCTACTTGGGAAAAAATTGGTAGAGGCTTTTGGGACCCAGCTGGATATATATACAGGAATACCTCAGAGGTATTGTGGGTTCAGTTCTATTCACTACAATAAAGTGAATATTGCAATAAATTAAGTCTAATTAATTTTTTTGGTTTCCCAGCACACACAGAAGTTATGTTTACATTATACTGCAGCCTATTAAGTATTTAACAGCATCATGTCTTAAAAAACAATGTACATACCTTAATTAAAAAATACTTCACTGAGGGGCACCTGGGTGGCTCAGTTAAGCGTCAGAGCACATTGGGCTCTGTGCTGACAGCCTGGAGCCTCCTTCAGATTCTGTGTCTCCCTCTTTCTCTGCCCCTCCCCGCCCTCTCAAAAATAAATAAACATTAAAAAATACTTCACTG